AGAGATGTTTGAAAAGTTCATGGTAACAACCAATCAGTATATGGAAGCCAACAATCAGTTTATGCGAAAGACAGATGCAACTCGTCAAGACTAGAGTGCAGCAATCAAAAATTTGGAGACACAAATGGGATAGATGGCCATCTCCATGATGGGTAAAGCACCAAGAAATCTGCCTAGCAACACTGAAATCAACCCTAAGGAGCACGCAAAGGCTATAACAACTAGAAGTGGAGTACAACTATCGGAGATAAATGTCAAAAGATCGGTAGCTAGCAAGGAATCAGCACCAACCTCGGATGATGAAATTATGGAACAAACTGAACAAACAACAAGGAATGTGGTCGAGAAGAATTCCAATACATCACGGGATGCCATTCCTATCAACCCTCATGAGCCTCCTATTCCGTTTCCACAGAGATTGAAAAAGCACAAATTGGATCAGCAATATAGTAAATTTCTTAAAGTCTTCAAGAAACTACACATCAACATCCCATTTACTGAAGCACTTGTTTAGATGCCAAGTTATGTAAAATTCCTGAAGGATAGCCTCTCCAACAAGTGAAAGATAGAAGAACACGAAACAATGCTAACTGAGGAGTGTAGTGCCAGAATCTAGAGAAAGTTGCCTCCAAAACTAAAGGATCCAGGGAGTTTTACTGTACCTTGCACTATTGGGAATTGTCATTTTGATAAAGCATTGTGTGATTTAGGTACAAGTATTAATTTAATGCCTCTCTCTCTGTTTTAAGAAAACTCGGCTTGGGAGAAGCTAAAGCCACAACGGTTACATTACAGTTAGCAGATCGATCCCTTACACATCTAAGAGGGATCATTGAAGACGTATTGGTTAAAGTGGAAAAGTTCATATTTCCAGCCGATTTTCTTATCTTGGATATGGAGGAAGATAAGGATGTTCCACTTATATTGGGGCGACCTTTCCTAGCTACTCGAAGAACGATTGTTGATGTTCAGAAAGGGCAGTTTATATTGAGGCTTGACGAAGAGCAAATCTCGTTCAACATGTTCAAGGCAATGAAATTCCCAACGGAGTCAGACAGCTGTTTCCAGATCGATGTAATTGACAGAATAATTCAAGATACATTTCGGCTACATCATCCTTCCGATGCTTACGAGGCGTACATTGCACATTCTCAATCCACTCACACTGATTCGAGTGAGATTGAAACATGTGCACGATTTTTGAAAACTAATCCTCCATACATACACGACGTTACTTCGAAGAGCTGGGAACCAAGACTACACAGTCAGTGCCATCTATTCAGCAACCTCCCAAATTGGAACTCAAGCAACTGCCACCACACCTGAGATATGCTTACCTGGGAAAATCTTCTACACTTTCGGTTATTATTTCGAGTACTGTCAGTGAGGTGGAGGAAGAAAAACTACTTCGGTTGGTAAGGGAGAATAAGATAGCCATTGGATGGTCGATTGCAGATATCAAGGGGATCAGCCCGTCGCTATGCATGCACAAAATACTCATGGAGGAAAAATTCAAACCAAGCATTGATGGTCAGCGGAGATTGAATCCACACATGAAGAAAGTGGTTAGGGCTGAGGTATTGAAGTTACTCAACGCAGGCATCATCTATCTAATATCAGATAGTGTTTGGATCAGTGCAGTACAAGTTGTTCCCAAGAAAGGGGGTATCACAGTGATAGAAAACGAGAAAAATGAGTTATTTCCTACACGGACTGTGACTGGATGGAGAGTGTGTTACTGTAAACTAAACACTGCTACTCGAAAGGATCACTTCCCACTACCGTTCATTGATCAGATGCTGGAGAGACTAGCAGGGCATTCACATTACTGCTTTCTGGATGGATATTCTGGGTATAATCAGATTCCAGTAGCACCTGACGATCAGGAGAAGACAACTTTCACTTGTCCCTATGGTACCTTTGCATACCATAGGATGTCGTTTGGTTTATGCAATGCTCCTGCAACTTTTCAGCGCTACATGATGGCTATCTTCTCAGATATGATTGAAAAATTCATCGAGCTATTCATGGACAATTTCTTAGTGTTTGGGTCTTCATTTGATGAGTGCTTGGAGCATTTGAGTCTTGTACTACAGCGGTGTACGAAGACTAACTTGGTATTGAATTGGGAAAAATACCACTTTATGATACAGGAAGGCATCGTGATAGGACACAGAATCTTAGCAAAGGGTATTCAAGTGGACAGAGCAAAGATTCGGGTGATCGAGAAATTACCGCCACCTACATCTGTGAAAGGTGTTCGTAGTTTCTTCGGACGTGTCGATTTCTACAGAAGGTTCATCAAGGATTTCTTAAAGATTACTAAACCGCTGTCTGTGGATGAAGGAATCCACATTTAGGTTCACAGATGAGTGTCTGCTCATTTTTAACACCTTAAAGGAGAAGTTGATTTCAGTACCCGTGATCATCACACCAGATTGGAATCTGCCATTTGAATTAACGTACGACGCCAGTGATTATGCTGTTGGGGCTATCTTGGGACAACGAAAAAATAAGATATTTCACATGATTTACTGTGTAAGTAAGACCTTGAACGACGCTCAACTCAATTATGCCACTACAGAAAAAGAGCTCCTTGCCGTAGTCTATGCCTTTGACAAATTTCGGTCATATCTCGTGGGATCAAAGGTCATCATTTACACAGATCACGCTGCTATCAAGTACTTAATGGAAACAAGAAGGATGCAAAGCCTTGTCTCATTCATTGGATATTGTTCCTTCAAGATTTTTACTTGGAAATCAGGGATAAGAAAGGCAGTGAAAATGTAGTGGCAGACCACTTATCTAGACTCGAGGCCACAGAACAAACAGAAACAATGGAAATCAACAAAGTCTTCCCAAATAAACAGATTTTTGGTTTAGGGGAGGCACCCTGGTATGCAGACATAGTTAACTACTTAGCCAGGTCTATCATGCCGCTTGATTACTCCAGTCACCAAAAGAAGAAATTTTTCTCTGAATTGAAATATTATTTTTGGGAGGATCCCATTCTATACAGGCGGGGGGCTGATCTAATTGTTCGTTGCTGCGTACCTAACGAAGAAGTGCCTTTGATATTAGAACATTGTCATTCATCTACATATGCAAGCCATTTTGGTGCTTCAAGAACAGCAGTGAAGATCCTTCAATTAGGTTTTTATTGGCCTACACTATTTAAAGATGCTTTTGAATTCGTGAAAAGGTGTGACCGATGTTAATGCACCGAAAATATGTCCAAGAGAAATGAAATGCCTTTGTATAGTATCCTGGAGGTGGAACTATTCAACGTCGGGGGGATCGACTTCATGGGGCCATTTCCTCCATCCTTCTCTAATCAGTACATATTGGTGGCTATGGATTACATATCGAAGTGGGTAGAGGCCGTTGCACTGCCTACCAATGATGGGAATGTGGTGATTGAGTTTCTAAAAAAAAAATATTTTTACCCGCTTTGGAACACTAAGGGCTATAATCAGTGATGGGGGCAAACATTTCTGCAATCGTCAGTTCGAACAATTGTTGGCTAAATATGGTGTTAAACATCATGTAGCCACTGCATATCATCACCACACTAGCGGACAGGTCGAAGTGTACAATAGACAATTGAAGTGAATACTCAAAGTCACAGTAAGCTCGTCACGAAAGGATTGGTCTAAGAAATTGGACGACGCTTTGTGGGCCTATAGGACTACATTCAAGACCCCTATCGGAATGTCACCATATCGACTGGTTTTCAGGAAAGCATGCCACTTACCTCTTAAGATAGAACATCATGCTTACTGGGCAATGAAAAAATTGAATTTGGATTTGAAGGCTACGGGTGAAAAATGTCTCCTACAACTTAATGAGCTGGATGAGCTCAGAATGGAAGCCTACAATAATTCAAGAATCTACAAAGAGCGCACCAAGAAATGGCATGACATGCACATTCAGAGGCGTGAAGTGCAGAAAGTGCTACTCTATAACTCTAGGCTTAAGCTGTTTCCAGGAAAACTGCGATTGAGGTGGTCTGGTTCATATACTATTACACAAGTTTTTCCACATGGGGCAGTTGAGATCACTCACGACAGCAAAGGGACATTCAAGGTTAATGGACAGCATCTGAAGCACTATTGGGGCGGTGATTTTTCAAAGGAAAAGTCTACCGTTCATCTTAGACCACCAGAATGAAGTAACACGGTAAAGTCGAGCTATCGACTATAATCTACGCTAGGTGGGAGGCAACCCACTGTATCCTTTTATTAGCTTACTTTCCACATTATTTTAGAATTATTTCATTTTTGCATTTGCATTTTTCTAGGTCATCGGTGAGTTTGAAATGATTTTGGGAGTTTGGGAGTAGAGTTCACGTATTTCTAAATAAAAGAACGTTTTTATTTAAAAAAATTAAGAGGGGAAAATTTTACGAGCGACATATCTTATTGCATTGCAGTAAAAAATAAAAAAAAAAACCTATGTGACTGCATAGCCCTTTACCGAAAACAAAAGGGGGTTTTTTATATCTACTATGCGACCACATAGTTTTGAACTATGCGGCCGTATAGTACTCTCTCGGTCATGGTATTAAACCATGACCGAGCCATTATCCCCCATTCCCCCCTAATTTCCTCCCACACCATACTCACCACTCTCCAACACACATCAACACGTCGAACTTCACTCGACTCCCCACTCCATTTACTCCATAAATCAACATTCCACGCATCCTGCGCGAAGTCTAGGTATGTTCCTCTTTCCTTCTTCTATGCATTTGTCGTCTCTAATTTGGTTCGCCATGAGCATAAGCTATTTAAGCCTGATTGTGGAGGATGGGCAATGCCTGTTATTGGTTTTATGTATGTTACACTTGGCTTGTGTTGTGGATTGGTGGAACATTATCAATTTGGTATTGTGTAGGTTTTTTCAATCTTGCGTGCTACGTGTTCGATGAATTGCCTACGTGACAATTGTAGTACATTTTACGCAATTTCGCATTAGAAATTTTGAGTAAATGCATTCCCTTATATGTGATGCCCAAATGCCATCGAAATTGAGCTCGAAACACTCACCTACCAACCCCACACCTTTCGGCTCAAGTGTTAGGTTCACATAACCTCATCGTACACACTTCGTCCCTTACGTTAATTACCCGTATGACATCCAATGAGCTTGAAAATTGAATATGTGTCACTCCACACTACATACTTTCATATGCC